TGTGCATAAGGTTGCTAGATTTAGGGAAAAAATATTAATACAAGACATATGCAGTTAAATTTGAATTCAGAGCAACATTTTTTTTTAGTATGTCTGACAAAATGTATGGGAAATACACTAACAAAATTCATTGTTTATCTGAAATTTGAATTTCACTAGGTGTCTTATAGTTTACCCAGCCACCTTAAATATTGAAAAGAAATAATTGAAGATGAAGAAAAAAAGGAAATGAGAGGATTAATAATATGCTATACTCAGATGCCAAACCCAGAGAAGGTTACAGAGTTTTTGCTTCTAGCATGACCACATGTGTAGATCCTCAAATTAGTTATGAGTTTTCTATTGCTAGACTACACATAGGGCAGATAGGAAAAGTGTAAGAGCGTTACATGCTTGTTCTTTGAGAAGGGAACCATGTTGGAACCATCTAATGTTGATGGGCCTTTAACAGCTCTCATAGTGCCAAGGCAATTCGTCTTGCTTGAGAAGATCCAATTTTTAAAAAGTGATGGTTTGGAGAAACCATTTTTCATGGAAAACATGTTATTAAAACAAAATGGGTTCCATGTGGGGAAGAACAACTTTAGTGGTGCACTGGTTCTGTTGCTGATAGAAGCAAAAGTGAAACTTTATTTGTATGTTGATGAAGTTAAAAAATTAGTTGACATTTGATCATTTTGAAAAGCATGGGGTGCTCCACAAGCTGGACAATTTGCTTGTGGGAACTCATATAAGTTTGAAAGCACATTCCTCATAAAATTTAAACAGCCATTTTTAATGAAAACATAATTTGTTTAAATTTTAAATCCAAATTGCAAAAATAATAGCAAAAATGACAATAAAGTAAGGCTGGTCATAATGTGCCCTTTTTTTTTTAGGATAAGTTTGATTTTTTTCATAAGATACAATATACTTACACACACATACCACATAAAATCACGCACTTTTGACTCATACAAATATACATATAGAACTATCTACAAAACTGTACCACAAGTGAAATAAAAATTACACAATTTTAAACAGAGTCAATCAACATGTTTTACAAATTCTACAGAACATTTTATTGTTGTCATTGGGAAAACAATTTAGAGCATTAAAACTGTATGTAACACAGGAGCCACCAATAAGTTATGGCAAATATAGCATTTACACCATGATGTCACTGAAATCTAGTTAAAAAGACTAAATTGCTATAAAATAAAATGCTCTTAAAAACCTTGTTTAGCATATCCTAAGGGACACTGTGCATTATTTTCTATTAGCAATTCAAAACGTGAGCACTCTGCCTATGGAGCTGCTGTTCGTTTGAACGACCAAAGGTTAGAAGATTGTGTCATTGGATCTGTAAAACTATAGAACTGAAAAACTGGAAACGTTCATTTCCTGAGACTTCCAACTTTCTAGTCTGGAATCCTTACAGGGAAGAACCTGAACAGGTAGCTCTGGCTAGAAACATGTGAGAACCTGACAGAACTTAAAACGACTTTAAGTGAAGATGTGTGTGTACTTGTAATTTATATTCAAGTCCATCTTAGATTCTCTAGCTTGAAGTATAATTGACAATGTAGTTAGAATATTACTGCCAGGCATTTCATGTTTTTGATGGTCTTATTTTTCACCAGTTTTCTAGTAATTTTTCTCCCCTTAAATATTAAAATATTTGAATCATGTTTATGCATACTAGCATAGGAGATATTGATGTCAAGAGTTAAAATGGCAATAGATTCAGGTTGATTAGAGTGCAGTTTCAACTTCAATAATGTATGTGTATGAAATGTGCATATGGTGTGTGTGTATATTGTATGTGTGTATATACACATAGGTGCTTACCTGCCAAACACATTATGCTCTAATACATTCATTAGAAGTGGCACTCCATGAAAAGTGAGTTTTCCCAGTATGGCTGAAAGTGAATATTGAGGTCATCAAATAGAATATCCTAAGGCTTTTAAAAACTGCCTCCTCAACCTCTACATTCACATGATTTGTGTAGTAATAAGGGAGACATAAACAATAATGATCGGAGAAGGATTCACCATAGTGGTCCTTCAAATTACGGACAGGAAAGTAAACTTAAAAATGATGCTCTTTGCATATTTTCCCACCCATTCTGTTGATTTCCTGCTGTAGATTAGGTAAAGGTTGGATTTTATTTCTGTTTTTTTTTTTTTTTTTTTTTTTTTTTGCTTTGCAGGACTTGTGAAACAAAGTCTTAAGAAACAAGCAAAACAAAAAGTGCACCAAGATGTACCTACTGCCATCTTGGGGCCTATTTGTAGCCCTTGTGCTGCTAGCTCTCTGAAAAGACAATGCCCAGCTAAGACAAAGGAGCGTAGGCTCAGGATAAGCTTCAATTGCATATCACCATTTCTCACTTCTTCAAGGCCCACAGCCTGCTCCCTAAGTGTGCTCCAGACAGCCAAAGGCACCTTCTCTCCATTCCCCTTTCCAAGGAATCCCTCCTGGTGAACTCTCCCTCTAGCTGGAGGACGCACAGTTCATTTCTACCTCTTCCCTCCTTTAGAAATTAAGGCAAGTCCATATACTCCCAGTGCCTGCTACATAGGCACTATATGTCCACACGGAAACCATAGCTTTGAGATGAAAGTACCTTTTTGTCTAACAAAGTTTCTGGGTGAATATCATTATTAGCAATAAAAAACTTTCCCCAGTTAAGAAACTGCACAATTAGTCCAAATGTTCATCCTGTTTGTTTTTTCCAGCACCCAAATGACAAATAGTACAAAATTAATTCTAAGCAAACGTAAGAAAACATCTAAGTTCAAAAAAATACAACACAAGTTACCTCTATATTTTATTTAT